CTCTCTCAAGCCCAGATCCCTGAGAGCTGCTGTGCGGTGGTTAGACACTGGCAGGAGTGCGATGCAGGCCTATGGGGAAAGCTGAAATGTCACCTGGGGGACTCACCTGCTCCAGATCCTCTGCTGACCTTTTGTTCTCTCCTGTTGGATCCTGATATGGCAGGACAAAGAGCTCAGCAGCCGTGGGTAAACCAGGGAGCACCGCCACCAGGATGTGGGGGCTCGGAACCCCAGTGGCCTGAGGGGGAAACATGGAGAAGCATGTAAGTCCTGCAGGAAAGATGATGAGAAGGGACCGAGCATCCAGCAGGGAGTGGGGGTGGGGTGGTAAGAAGACGAAAGGGGGTGTGGGTGATGTGTGCAAGCAGGGTCCTGGGTGCACCTTGTAGGAAAGGATGTGAGAACCAGCACTGGGCTGCAAGTGCTGGCTCAGAGTCAGACTGTGTGAGGTGTGATCTCAGCTCCATCCCTGTCCTTAAATACTTTATCTCCTCTGTACCTCCATTCTCTCAAGTAAAAAGTGGGGAGACTGGCAGTACTTATGAAAGGGTGGTTTTGAGAATTAAGTAAGTTGCACCTAAAGCATCTGTCGCCATGCCTGGGGACTCAAATGTTAGCTCTTCTTCCTACAGGACATCTCTGGTGAGTGGACCTTGTGAGGAGAAGACCCTCACTTACTAAACGTTATCATCTGCCCCTCACACCTTAACCCTTCTTAACCAAACTTCCTCCTTCCTGGTAGCACTAGAGTTACTCCTTCAAATGGACCAATCACATCTGGTTGAATGACTCAACCTAATATAACTCCCCCATATCACACCCCTCAGGCACCTACTGACTTCTCCACATCACAAGAACCTGAGGACCAGCCCGTTTCATGAAGTACGTTGAGCCTTTGTCATGCCGAATCCTGTTAACATTACAGTTACACTCAAGCATTTCCTCTTAGTTCATTTGCTCTATTTTGAGCTTATATCCCAGCGTTTCCCAAGTCCACTCTCCAGATGGTCCTAGAATTGATTGATAGCTCCAATCCCAGCCATACTCTTCCTCGGTCAGTTAGAACACCATTGTTTCAGTAGGACTTCCGACATTCATGTCAAAAAAGGGCCTTCTCATTTTCAGCCGTAAAATATCAATTCTACATGTGGATGACTCAGGGTGGTCCTTTCCCAGACACCCTTGCTCAAAGCCTTCCATTCGCTTCTGACATTACACTCCCCTCCATGTATTATCTTCCAATCTGAGAGATCTTGACAAGTCAACCTCCACAGCAATGACCCTACTGGTTCCCTCCTGTTTAAATACCCGCTGTTAATATCCCAATTCAACATTAACATACTCTCTCCCCTAAAGTTTTACAGTAATCTCCCCATTTCCAGGAGCTTGGCTACTACTTTCAGATTTAGTTTCCTTCAGTCCAACTCAGACTGTGTTTGCCTGTCTAAATCGTTGCAGTAATTCCCACTACCAACTGGATTGAATATACATTCAAAGTCGTCTCCAATATGGTCCTCCTTTTCCTTTCCAAATGAAATTAAACACAGCTAACACAGTCATTTTATGCTCCAGCCAAATGGGATCATATACCATTTCTCAGAATTACAGCCTTTTCCTGAAAATGTTCCTGCATGTTCCAGCTTCCTGAGAATGTCTTTTCTCTACATTGGCTGCTGAAACCCTACTCTCCTTCATGAGTTTCCTTTTTAAAGTCTGCTTGCTTCTATATATTTTTCAAGATTTCCAAATTAGGTGACTCTTTTTGTTTGTTTCTGAACTCCACCTTGATTTATACCTTTTTCAAAGTTGTAAGACATCCCACTTATTGGGTCCTTCCCATGTGCCTAGCATTGTGCTAAGCAACTTAATATTTTGTAATGCAGCCTTCCACGACAACTCTTTGATAAAATTATCAATATGCCCCTCTTTTTTGGTAAAGACATATCACAGATTAGGGGTCCTCAGGAAGCTGACTTGAGTTGAGCATTTGGGGTGTTTATTAAGGGTGCTCTTGGGATCAACAGCTATGGGAGTGAAGGGAAGGAAGCAAGAATGAGCAGAGGGAGAAGTTGAGCTGTGATGAAGGCCCATGGCTGCCTCTGGTGGCCTTACAGGGAGTGAGGATGGTGCTTCAGGTGTGTGTGAGGTTAAGCCAGGCCCTTCTCTAACTGCATCAGTCACTGGATGTGAGCACTGACATGACCTGGAGCAAGGCAGGTGAAGCCTCTACCCACAGCACTCCTAGCAGTTAAGACAACAGTCTTTTCCCGAATGGGGATCTGGGCAATGCATCTCTATTTCTGTCACCGGACAGATGGCAGATGGAGGAAAGGGAAACAATGGCTCAAGGCCACCTAGGTAGTGAGTGGTGATGATTAGTCTGGGACTTTGGTCTGACCATGAAGCCTCTGTTCATCACCAGTGCTCTACCACCTCCCTTTTCCTGACAATGATCACACAGCAGTTCCTAGCACAGCCAATATTATACTGTTCTATGCCCCTACTAGATTTTTAACTCAAGATTGTCTAAACCATCCTGATCATACTAAAAAATGCTTAATGAAGACTTTTGGTTAAAGATCCCATGGTGAAATGTCAACAGAAAAACCCCATTTGATGAGAAAAAGTGATTGTTGAAAGTATCACATATGTCTCCTTTATCCCCCTTTGACCTCTCCCAACCGCTCCTGCCCCCCAGCACATGCCCTCACCCTTGTACTGTCTGTGTCCATTGATTATGCTTACATGCATGTATACAAGTCCTTTGGTTGATCTCTTACCCCTCCCCTGCCTTAATTCTGTCATGTAATGAACAAGAAAAGTACAAATAAGTTGACCGCAAGTTGTACCGCTTATTGGGTTTATTACGGTAAACTTGGCAATGTGATATTTCAGGACTTAAGAAAATGGCCAAAGAC